TACACTTGTTTGGCAGCTCTCCAAGGTGGGACCTAATCCTGAGAAATAAGTGGAAGCCTTGCCTTAAATCAATTTTCACTACCCCCATGTGTTAATTTGCTGCAGGACAGCCATCAGGACTGCGGTCTGATTGCCCCTGACATCTCAGCGAACAGAATAGTGGAAACCAGGGTGTCCTGTAAAAATCCATTCCTACAAGAATTGAACAGTGCACCTACCCAATTATCTATTACCCCACATTCAATTCAATGCTGGTAGTGTGCACTTTAGTCATGCATATATTGCAACAAACAATGAAAGTCACTTTTAATCTTTATTAGAATTTTTGGCTAAATGACAAAATAGTCTTTGAGACTTACCAAGAAGTATGAAAATTTGCAATATTAATACCTGGACAGGTTGTGGTTGAACAGTGGAGTCTTGATTATACTGGATATTCCAATTAATTTGAGAGTTTCCTGTGGGCTGATACCATTGAAGATCTTTCGTGATGTTGTATGCCTGTAATAGAAATGTGTGCCAATTAGCCCTGACCACCTCATCCCATTCAAAAATCAGTTATTGCCACTGCATACAACATCCACCTCTTGAAATTAGTATTACTGGATATTCTGAATTCAATTTCTGTGACTGACTTGTTTAACTTGTTTGAAGAGACTGTTTTCTTTCAATTGGTTCATGGGAAGTGGGCATTGCTAACTTTTACTGCACATTCCTAATTGTTCTTTATGGTGGCATTGAGCTGCCTTGGTAAACCACTGCCATGCATCAGAGACGCAATGTTTTCAGTGAAGGAGTTCCAGAATTTTAGCACTGTGACTGTAAAGGAATGGTAATAGTGAAGGAACAACAATATTGTTCCAAGGCAGGATGGTGCGAGAGTTGGGTTTGGAGGGAGGGGATTCTTTCAGTTGATAGTGTTCCCCTGTATCTTCTGCCCTTGTCCTTCTAGGTGGTAGAGCTCATGGGTTTAGAAAGTTAGAAAATATCGGAGCAGCTAATGAAAGCCCCTTAAACAATGCTTCGTGTAGTTGGGACATACAGCTGCTACTGTGCATCAGTGGTGAAGGAGTGAATTGAGAAGGTAGTGGATGCGTGCCAAGCAAACAGACTCTATTGTCCTGGATGATGTTGAGTTTATGCGTTGTTGGAAACGCATCCATCCAGGCAAGTGGGCAGCATTCCATCGCTGTCTTGAATTGTAGATGGAGGACAGGCTTTAGAAAGATGGGAGGTAAGAATTCCTAACTTTTTATCATGCTGAACAATGGAGCTATGGCTGCTGACAATTTTCCCCACTCCTAGATACCAGGTTTAGCACTGAATTCTTCCCAATCCAGTATAGATTAGATGAGACAGAAATTTCAATTTCTTCAAACCTTTATTTATAATTCAGATAATTTCCTCATTGTTCACCTGTATGGTAATATACGACAGAATAGATTCCCAACCCAATTCTAAAATCTGGCTGATTTACCCATTAAGTTTTCCAATTGACAGGTGATCCATTTTGTCAGGTTACCATCTCAGCACTGAAGGTGCTCAACTGTGTCCAAAGCTAACATTTAGTAGGGTACCCATATTGCACCATTTTTCATAACATTTTCAAACTTTAACTTTGAGACGCAAAGGTAGGAACTGCCTGTACCCTTAATTCACTGAACAAAATTTTGCAAATTTACATCTCCTAATTACTAAACGCTATAAATGGACTATACAATTCTTTAAAATGATAAAAGCTGATCACAGACTCCAAGGGATAACAAGGTGTAGAGCTAGATGAACACAGCAGGCCAAGCAGCATCAGATGAGCAGGAAAGCTGATGTTTTGGGTCTGGACCCTTCTTCAGAAATGCCCACGTTATAGAAATGTCCAGAAATACACCTTGTTATCTCAGATTCTCTAGCATCGGCAGTTCCTACTATCTTGGTGTCTGTGAGATGTTTGCCTGATATTTTTGTAGTGAACAACATTGATGTTTTAATGGCAATTTCTAAATAGGTTCCTTCATTAAAATCTTAGTAGCCACGTGAAGCACACATAAGGTCTAGGAGGATGTGAACTGATGAAGCCCTTGAAGTATATAAGGAAAGTAGGAAAGAACTTAAATTAGAAGGGCTTAAAGGGGTCATGAAAAGTCATTAGCAAACAGGATTAAAGAGAATCCTAAGGCTTTTCACACATATAAAAAGCAAGAAGGTAGTTAGGGAAAGGGTTGGCCCACTCAAGGACAACAGAGCGAATCTATGTGTGGAGCCAGAAGAGGTCGGCGAGATCCTAAACGAATATTTTATGTCGGTATTCAGCAAAGAGAAGAAATTGGTGGAGAATGATCTCAGGGAAGGGAGTGCTGAGTTTCTAAGCCAAGTTGCTAATAAAAAGGAAGAGGTATTGTCTGTCTTAAAAAGTATTAAGGTAGATAAGTCCCCTGGTCCTGATGGGATCTATCCCAGAATATTGAGGGAGACAAGAGAACAAATTGCTGGAGCATTGACAGACATCTTTGTATCCCCTTTGGCCACCGGTGGGATCCCAGAGGACTGAAGAATAGCCAATGTTGTCTCATTGTTTAAGAAGGGTAGCAGGGATAATCCTGGAAACTACCTCACATTGGTGGGTGGGAAATTATTTGAAAAGATTCTCAGGGACAAGATCCTTATGTATTTAGAAGCAAATGGACATATTAGTGATAGACAGCATGGTTTTGCGTGGGGGAGGTCATGCCTCACTAACTTGATTGAGTTTTCTGAGCAGGTGACGAAGATGATTGATGAGGGAAAAGCATTCTATTTTGGCTACATGGACTTCAGTTATGGCTTTGACAAGGTCCCTCATGGCAGACTGGTACAGAAGGTGAAGTCACATGGTGTCAGGGCTGAGCTGGCAAGATGGATACAGAACTGGCTTAGTCATAGTCACAGGAGACAGAGGGTAGCGGTGGAAGGATACTTTTCAGAATGGAGGGTTGTGACTGGTGATGTTCCATAGCAATCAGTGCTGGGACCTCTACTGTTTGTGGTCTATGTAAGTGATTTGGAGGAAAATGAAGCTGGTCTAATTCATAAGTTTGTGGACGATAAAAAGATTAGTGGAGCTCCGGACAGTGAAGAGGATTGTCAGACGATACAGCAAGATATAGATCAGTTAGACGCATGGGCAGAAAAATGGCAGACGGAATTTAATCAGGACACGTGAGGTGATGCATTTTGGAAGGTCAAGTACAGGTGGAAATTATGCAGTGAATGACAGAACCCTTTGGAGTATTGATATACAGAGGGATCTGGGTGTGCAAGTCCACAGATTACTGAAGGCAGCAGTGCAGGTAGATAAGGTAGTAAAAAAAAGGCTTGTGGCATGCTTTCCTTCATTGGAAGGGTCATTGAGCATAAGGATGGACAAGTTATGCTCTATAGAACTGAAGTTAGGTCACACTTGGAATATTGCATACAGTTCTGGTTACCACGCTATCAGAAGGATGTGGATGCTTTGGAGAGGATACAGAAAAAGTTTGCCAGGCTGTTGCCTGGTATGGGGGATTTTAGCTATGAAGAAAGGTTGGATAGTCTGCGAGATAGTAAGAACTGCCGATGCTGGAGTCAGAGATAACACAGTGTGGAGCTGGAGGAACACAGCAGGTTGGGACCCAAAACATCAACTTTCCTGCTCCTCTGATGCTGCCTGGCCTGCTGTGTTCCTCCAGCTCCACACTGTGTTTTCTTGGATAGTCTGGGTTTAATTTCACTGGAAAGCAGGAGGTTGAGGGGCGACCTAATTGAAGTTTATAAGATTGTAAATGGCATGGATGGAGTGGAAAGTAAGAAGCTTTTTCCCAGGGTGGAGGGGTCAAATACTAGGGGACACAGGTTCAAGTTACGAGGGGGAAGTTTAAGAGAGATGTGCGAGGCAAGTTTTTCACACAAAGGGTGGTGAGTGCCTGGAGTGTGCTGCCAGAGGTGGTGGTGGAAGCAGAGACAATAGCAGCGTTCAAGCAGCACCTGGACGAATACATGAATGGGATCCTGTAAGTGAAGACAGTTTTAGTATGGAAGGGCAAAATGTGTCAGCACAGGCCTGGAGGGCTGGAGGGCCGAAGGGCCTGTTCCTGTGCTGTATTGTTCTTTGTTCTTTGTGAACTACAGTTAGTTTATGGGCCTGTTGAAGAGAAAATTAAATATTGACTGACCGAAGCTTCGCAAAGCACTTACATTTGATATCATATAAAAAAACAGGCACTCTAATAACAATGTACGTTTAGGGTGCTTTCTCTTTTGCAATCTTGGCTATAATCTTTGTCTATTGTTCTTTTTGTACAACTAGATTGTGTCCATTCTATAAAGGGCTTTTATTTTTACTTTATTTCAATATCAAAAAAATCACAAAAATTATGAGTTTTGTTGGGGTCACAGGTTGTTTGCTGGGAGGGAAAGTGGGAATAAAAGAAAGACCGACATCAATCTTATGGGTGACTGCAACTGAGAGCAGTCAATTCAGAGGAATGAGTACAAACAATTCAAAGGACAATTTTAAGCAGATCAATCTACCAGAGAAGAATGTAGCTAGAATTAAACTATTTCATTTAATTTCATTTTATTATAAAAGCTACAAATGAATGGAAATGACAATTATTGAAAATGATTGTGTTAGTTTACTACTACGATTTCCAAGAGATGATAAAGATATTAATAGGTTATATCCCAGCATGGTAATAAAATGGACAATCACATTATTCTTAATATCATTCTTAATATCAATATCATTCTTACCTGCGCAGGAGTGTTTGGTTCACATGTCACGTAGGTTTTATGCACTACAACTTCTGAATCTTTGGGAATATTTAGTCCTTTCATGCTTTGAGCGAGTACATATTGATGCTGTCTGTTCTGTATCTGCACCACAAACAGTAATTTAGATAAGATTTTAAAATGAAGAACTAAACCTCTGTGATGCGCATAGGGCATGGGGCTTTAGGGGCCCAGACATCGACACACCATGATGCATCACCCAATCAAGAGGGGGGAAAAGAAAAGTCAAAGGAAAGAAAGAAATTGCATTCAAAAGCACTTTTCACATCCTCAAAAGTGTCCCAAATCATTAATAACCAATCTATTGGCCCATGGTCCATAGAATGATTAGAGACATATTGGCAGGATAAGTTTCACCAAAAATAATGTCTCTTCTCATGCTTTTAGGCATAACTGCATGATAATATTAAAAGCATGGCAGTGGCTCCAAATTAATTAAGCTAATGGTTCAACATTTTGTTTTGAAGCCACATTAGTTATAAATCTAAATTTTGAATCAATTAAAATTTGTCCATTTACTGTGTGGGGAAACAGCACAGTGTGCCCACTGGCATTCTCCCAAAGACAGCAGACAGCAGTATGAATTCATATAGCCAGGTATCCACTGCCTGCTCATAAGCCATGAGTCTGGTCATGAAATTCTTAAAGTAAGTGAAGTCTGAGGCCCAATTATATGATGGAAAATTAGTTTAAATAAAAACTAAAGGGCAACAGGATATCTTTTTATTTAATGTGCCCTACGAAGAGAGCAGATTCTCTGAGACATCTGTCAGTTTACAAAGGGACCTTGCTGCAGCTTGTTTTACCTTATCCAACTTAACTTGTTGCTGAAATTTCACTTGATGAAATGATGGTACTATTCAGGTGCGGGCACTTCTTTGAACTGATCTGTCTATTGGACAGAACTAACCACTAAATACCTCAACAAAAACTTCCATTTACAAGGCATTGTTAACGTAACAAATAATGTAATGTAATCCCACATGTTTTAGCTCATATTATGCCAGACAACAATTATTATTGTCCATTGAAGGTGCTTTCCTCCAAGGTAGATCCTCACTTTAACATGTTGCTCTCTGCTGCCCATCAGAAATCGGTCCCCATCCCTTTGGCTGGGGTCAGGCTGGCAGACTTCAGCAAACTCTGGGGTTACCTCTGTGCTTGGCTCCACATCTTCTCTTCATTGAGAGCAGCCTGTTGACCCAGTGCCACAGCTGGATACCTGCTGGCAATTTGATTGACCAGTGGCAGGATCTCCTCCAAGCTGGAGCCCCAATGTAAATAACAGCCTGACAGAAATTAGGTTACAGGGCAGCCTGCGAAATGGAAATGGGCTCACCAGCCAGCTTTAGGCTGGAAGAGTAAGGCCATCACCTCTGTATAAATTTCCCCTCATGACCTCCAAACAATTGAGCAGCTATGTGGAATTCCATGAGAATAACAGGAACTTATACTTTCACATGGAAATGGTAACACAATTCTGGATTCAAACACTGAACAAGCACTTAACAGCATTTAAGCCAATCAGTGTGGGACCCTTCCAGGAGCTTTTAACGCTGATTAATGTTTTTCATTTTATGAGACAGAGATATTCTCTCCGCTGAGCAATCACTGGAAAGCAAAGTTTCATGTATTTCTTTGATGGGTAAAATGCAAGTGAGCTTTGCTCTTGGAAGCTACGGTTCACAATATCACAGAACTCATCTCTGTCTAATATTGTAGTATAACCAGTCCCTCAAGCAGAATTGAAGATATACAACTATCATTTACAACTTTGGTGTCATGTTTAACCCTCATATGAGCTTCTAGCAACTTTCCATACCTTGAACAAATAAGAATTGTTGTTAGATTAAACTTTTTTTTATTATTACACATGATTATCATTAAGTCAATTAGGATTAAAGCAGACACTTTTCTATTTAAATTTTAAAGTAGCACAAATGTTTAGATAATAACAAGTTGTGTCTGGACACGCTTGTAAAATTAATCACATACCTCCGAGGGGTTTGACAGCCCACCTTGCCTCACAATGGTCTGTTCATAATTGACATCATTTGCCTTCTGATATTGTTGCTGAGCATCCTACACAAAGATATACATTAGATAAATCCAAAAGATTGTTATTTGTTCACATTTTCAAGTTCCGCAATGGCAACACCCTCCTTTTTTTTAAGCTATCATTAAGTGATTATGATGCCACTTCTTGAAAAAAAAAATCATGTGCACAGTACATTGTCGCAGCAAGCGACAGCTGAGATGTAAAAGGATTCACAAGGAAGTACAATTGTTCACAGGTGGCCCAATAACATGGAATTTCAGCACAACACTCAACATTAGTTGTTTCCAATTTGACCAGTTCAACATTAGATAGCATGTGGGTGGTGGAATTGGTGGTAGGTTGGGTTGGGTTTTTGAGGTGCATAAGAGGTGACAACGGAACTTGGGATATTCTTGTTCAGTTTTTGATGGTTAATACAAGGAGGAGATCTTGTAGTACAGTGGTAGCACATGACCTCCGGGCTAGAAGCCCTACAGTCCCATGCCAGGACTTGTTGGGAATGGAAGGTATGTTTTATGATGTGGCGATGACCATCAGTCTGTAAAGATCCTTCCAACAGTGACAGACAGTGAGAGTAGGACAGTTCCTAGTCAGCCAACCTGCCAAAGGCAATGGCAAACTGTTGTGAGGTCACATGCAGCGACCAATCCAGTGCAAGCCCATGGTACAACCCCAGAATCAAGAAATGGAGAAATGGCAGGCAGATACAAGAACAGCCATGGTAGAAGCTACCATCAGGTTACCTGCCTCTCAGTCAGAAAAGCGCTTAGTGCAGATAATGCATGCGTAGCATACTTACTCATTATCTTATCTTGAGGAAGGATTATTATACATTCTTATTGATTATTGGATACATTACTATTCTATGAAGAGCACTCCAACTAAAAAGGAGTAACTGTCAAACAATCTGGTTAGCAACATTTCAAAGACATTTCGTATAAAAAGAGATATTAGTGTGAATGCATTCATTTTTAAATCCTCAAATATTAGGTTTCCTCAAGCATTAACCACAAAAATTCAACTGCAAACTCAGGCCTTGTACCTCAGCCCAATTATTGATACCGATTACAAACTAGAGAAATCACTAATGTAGATAATTCAATGTGAGTGTACTACATATAATCAAACCTTTTCATTCAACCTATGATGTGTTTTTCTGTTAGAAAACAAATATAAAAATAAAAATTTCAAAGCTTGTTTTTCAGAGACCGTTGCAGCTCCGAGGAAAGAAAGAAGCTATTTCCCACATTTTATCCTGTGCTTTTTCCAGCAATCCCCCCATGCAGTGATTCAAATTATTTATTTAAATTCTCCTTTAAGAATACAATTCTTTCCATTTCAGTTATTTAGCGTATTAGTTCATCAGCAGCTTCTTATATTTGGGCTACAACATAGCCCTCATATCTTTTACTAAGGACTCTTGCTAACTTGTGTCTGAGAAGCTCAATTCTGTTAGTGATTTGTGTAAGAGTTCAATGCAAAGCTCATCTCTAACAGAACACTTTCTCTTAATTCACACATGCTCAACACTTGATTCTGTTGCGGCAAGAACTTTGAGCTGCAATCTATTAACAGCACTCCATCCATTTCCATGCAATGCTGAGGAAGGGTCACCGGACCCGAAACGTTAACACTGTTTTTCCCTTCACAGATGCTGCTAGACCTGCTGAGCTTTTCCAGCAACTTTGTTTTTGTCCGTGCAATGCTCTGTCCGTGTCAATTATCAGTTTAAAGATTGCTCTGTACTGTAGGTTCACGTTCACTGGGGACTTGACTGAGCAAGTCCAAATTCTCTTCAGCTACTTCCACCCTTACGCTTAATAGACAGAGAAGACTTCATTCCCTTTAATATAGGTTTCAATCTCTACCAAGATTAAAGAGATCAAAGTATAGATCAAAGCATCACCGAAGGTATTCGTTATGTTTTACACAGTCACAAACGCCAGTCTTCCTGTTTAAAAAGCAATCAGCCTGTATTTATAAGTTTTAAAAGCCCAGGTATTTGCTGAATTCCACACCTAGTTGGAACAGAAAACTGGCTTGACAGCTTCCCATTCACGACAGCCAGGCTAACTGCAAATTCAGACATTCACTTGTAATTTCATCAGCAACAATCTCTTTGCACACAAGTTACTGTATCCTCAAAAAGCTGAAGTTATAAATGTGTCAGTAACAAGTGGTGCTGGTTCAAAGCTGTAGAGAGTGGCAACAGACTAAAGTATTAAGACACTGCTATTGGCTTCTTCTGAGCCTTAACTTCTATAATTTTTCATGAAATAGCAGACATACTATACAGGACCTGACAAGAAATGCACATAAACTGTCACAGAGAAGTCCACTGAAGAAGTACTTTATGAGACAATAAAAGACTTGTGTAGGATGTTGTCAAGAACAAAAGTCAGGAGAAAACAGATAGGAGTGGGGGTCAGGCAATTGAAAACAGAAACATGGTTTTTAAAAGCCTGAAGACTATAAAAGGGAGTCGACTGTAAAAGAAACCGGTAGTTTCGAAGGCGTGGAAAAGTATTTGCTGGAATCGTTGATTGCATCATGAATATTATTATTAACACTGCAGGAATATCAAATTTGGAGCTCAAGAGGTATTCGGTGGTGTTCGGTGAAGGAAGGATATTAGCTAGGTCACAGTAGTGGAAAGGATCCAGGAGATTTTTTACATTCCTCACGGACAGATGAAGCTTCCATTTAACTAAACATCTGAAAGAGTGCTCCTCTGGCAATGCAATTCTTCCTCAGTACTGCACTTAAGTCTCATCTTAGATTAGGTGCTCAAGAAGTGGGTCTTGCATCATACTATTTTGACCTAGTCATTAGAGTGTTTACAAATTGAACCAAGCAAATAGCTTCTAAAAACCAAACGCTGCAAACGCAACTTGCATCAAAATAGTGCATTTAAAAATCCTAATCTGCAGTGTAGAGGTGTATTCAAAGATTGATGCCAATCATGGAATATTAAAATGCATGACTAAACGTTTGGTGAAAGAGGTGGGAATTAAAGTCGTAAATAACTACTGAGTTGCCAGGTTAGATTTGGTTTAATATCTCACACATTCATAAAAGACTGTATCATCCATGAAATGCATTTTACAGTGCAGCACTAAAAGGTTAGCCAAGATTATAAGTGCTCAGCTCTGCAGCGAGTCTGAAGATTACAAATGTTCTAAGGAAATAGTGTACAATTGAGCTGCTTTGTTATTTTTTGACAGAAGTTTACAATTATGAATAAATTCTCAATTCACTGATGAATAGTCGGAGAAAGCCAGAACTGCAGATGCTGGATCAGATTCAATACAGTGTGGAGCTGGAGGAACACAGCTGGCCGGGCAGCATCAGAGGAGCAGGAAAGTCCATGTTTCAGGTTTACACCCTTCATCAGGGCTGGGGAGGTGGTAGGGAGCTGCAGAATAAATGGGGGGGGTGGGGCTGGGGGAAGGTAGGTGAGATGGTGATAGGTGGATGCAGGTAAGGGGTAGTGGAGATTGGTTACTGGGAAGGGTGGGGTGGATGGGTGGGAAAGAAGATGGACAGGTTGTGTCAGGTCAAGGAGTTGGGGGACGAGAGGGCGGGTTGGATAAAGGGATGGGGTTGGGGGTGGGAAGGTTTTGAAACCGGTGAATTCTTTGTCGAAGCCATCGGGCTGTAGGCTCCCGAGGTGGAGTATGAGGTGTTGCTCCTCCAGTTTGCATGTGGTGTCATTGTGACACTGGAGGAGGCCCGGGATGGACATGTCACCCAGGGAGTGGGGGGACGGAGGGGGGTAGTTAAAATGGTTAGCAACTGGAAGGTGTTGTTGATTATAGCATACAGAGCATAGATGCTCCACGAAATGGTCACCGAGTCTGCGATTGGTCTCATCGATGTAGAGGATACCACATAGGGAGCAATGGATATAGTAGTCCAGGTTGGAGGATGTACAGGTGAATCCCTGTCAGATTCGGAAAACGGGCCTTGAATGGAGGTGAAAGCGAAGGTGTAGGGGCAGGTGTAGCACTTCCTGCGGTTGCAGGGTTGCCGGGTGTAGTGGGGAGTGTGGAGCAGACAAGGGAGTTGCGGAGTGACCGGTCCCTACGAAAGGCAGATAGGGGTGGGGAGGGAAATATATCTTTGGTTGTGGGGTTGGATTGTAGGTGGCGGAAGTGACGGAGGATGATGCGCTGGATGCGGAGGTTGGCAGGGGGGGGTGATAAGTGAGAACAGGGGGACTCTGTCTTTATTTTTGTTGGGGGCAGGGGGTTCGAGGGCAGAAGTGTGGGAAATGCAAGAGATGCCGTTGAGGGTATTATAAATCAACAGAGGGAGGCTGTTGCGGTCCTTGAAGTGGGAGGACATCTGGGATGTCTGGGAGTGGAATGCTCCACCTTGGGAGCAGATGTGGGGGAGGCGAGTAAGGCATCGAATTCTTGCAGGAGAGTGGGTGAGAGGAGGTGTAGTCAAGGCAGCTATGGAACTCGATGGGTTGGAAATAGATGTTGGTGCTGAGACGGTTACTGGAGATGGAGATGGAGATGGAGATGTCCAGGAAGGGGAGGGGGGTGTCTGAGATGTTCCAGGTGAATTTGAGGTTGGAGTGAAAGGTGTCAGTAAAGTTGATGAACTGTTCAAGCTCCAGTGACATCTCAGATGTCCTCCCAATGTGGTCTCCTCTACATCGGTGAGACCCAGCGCAGACTCGGTGACTGTTTCGTGGAGCATCTGCGATCTGTATGCTATAATCAACAACACCTTCCAGTCGCTAACCATTTCAACTCCCCCTCCCAATCCCTGAGTGACATGTCCATCCTGGACCTCCTCCAGTGTCACAATGATGCCACCCACATACTGGAGTAACAACACCTCATATTTTGCCTCGGGAGCTTACTGCCCGATGGCCTATACAGGTGAATTCACCAGTTTTAAAATCTTCTCACCCCCAGCCTTATCCAATGTCCGACCCTCCCCCTCACCCCCCACCTCCTTGACCTGACACAACCTGTCCACCCCTCCATTCCCACTGACCAATCCTCAC